TAAATGAATTTGTTTATATATTTTATTAAAACCACTACAATTCACTACTCTTTGGACACAAATTATTTATATTTTTTTCTCAAATGCAAAATACACTCACTCCCTTCCAAGATTCCCCAAAGTCTCATCCTTTTACAGTAAAAATTTCATATTTAAGATGTAATCTAAAGGTCCATATACAGGTGAAACTTCTTGGGTGCAATGACTCAAGTGAAGGTTTTTGCATATAGTTCTTCTCAATCTGAAAATCTGTTAACTAAAGAGACAAATTATCTACTCAACACATGCCTAAAAGACAATGGTAGGACAGGCAGAGGATAAATGCTGTATGACCTTCTTGTTCAAAAATGGAGAAAATGAGAAAAACAACATAGTCATCAGTCCAGAGCAAGTCTGAAATCAAGATGGGAACATCAGAAGTTCCTGGAGTATAACTTAGGACCTGGGAATAATTTTCCATGGCTCTTTGCTCTGCTATTTGAGATCTTGGTTCTAATTTCTGAGTCATTTTTCCATTTTCATAAAAGGTAGGCCACACTTGTGGAATTCTGGAGATCCAAAGGGCCTCTCTTCAGTCCAAGTTGGTGGCATTTCTGCCAATATAATTCTTTGGAAAACTTTATAGGTCTCTTGTGAATCTTATTGGAGTTTACTCCATTAGATAAAAAGCACACTTACAAATCTCTCTGAGAGAAACTCTTCTTAAACTTCTGGTAAGGGATATGCCCTTACAAGCTTCTTCTAAACCCAATTACTTTGATTGAAAGGTTCTCTGAGGCACCACCCTTAGATCTTTCTGAGGTCTTAATGAAGGAATTTACAGTCACATCCTTGGCTTTATTCTTACACACTGCTTTTCTGAGAGGGCCCTGGATCTGATCTTTGCCTGGAAGCCACTTCTTAGTTTTAGCAGTTTGACATACTGAGAATTTTCTTTTTGTTAAGAGCCCTTCCTTAGATTATTTCTCTCCTCTGCTGTTTACCACAAGCAGTAAGAAGACATCAGGCAATAGCTTTAATGTTTTACTTGATAATCTCCTCAGCTGAATCACCCAGCTCGTTCATTAGGTACATTTTCTGCTTCCCACATTACTGTAGGTGACATTGTTGCTAAACTTTCTGCCACTACACAACAAAGATTCCCTTTCTTCCATTTTTCAATTTAGTTTTCTTAATTTTCATTTAAGCCCTCACTGGCAGTTTGCCCCAAAGCCTTTAAGCTTCTAGTAACAGTCTCTTCAGGACTGTACTAAAACTCTCCTCAAAGATCTTCCAGTTTCCATTTACTGTCCAAGTCCAAAGTCACTCTTACATTTAAAGTATTTATTATGGTAGCACCCCATTTATGGATACCAAAATCTGTATTAGTAATAAATTATTCTCAAGATTAACGGCAAACATTTATTTCACAGTTTCTTCAGGAACTCAAGAACCACTTGCTAAGTGGTTTTGGCTTAGTATTCCTTGTAAGGTTGCAGTCAACGTATCAGCTATGGCTGTGGTCATCTGAAGGGCTTGTTTGGAGCAGAATTGACCTATTTCCTAGGTGCATGACTAATATGGCAATTGTCTGAAGGCTTTAGTGGACATCTACATAGGGTTGCTTGCATGTCCTCATAATATGACAAGCACACATCCCTCAAAACTAGTGATAGATGAGAGAGAATCAGACAGAAGCTACAATGTCTTCAGACTTGCCCTTGGAGTCAACACTCTTGTCATTTCTACCACATTCTCTTTGTTAAGATAACAACTAAGTATTGTACAATCAAAGTAGTGGAGGGGAAAGAGGATTATATTCCACTAAAAGAGAAAATATTTAAAAAATTTGTGAATCTACTTTAAAAACATCACAGTATGAAAAAAACAAGAATTAAAACTTAAGGCCGGGCGCTGTGGCTCACGCCTGTAATCCTAGCTCTTGGGAGGCCGAGGCGGGCGGATTGCTCAAGGTCAGGAGTTCAAAACCAGCCTGAGCAAGAGCGAGACCCCGTCTCTACTATAAATAGAAAGAAATTAATTGGCCAACTGATATATATATAAAAAATTAGCCAGGCATGGTGGCGCATGCCTGTAGTCCCAGCTACTCGGGAGGCTGAGGCAGGAGGATCGCTTGAGCCCAGGAGTTTGAGGTTGCTGTGAGCTAGGCTGACGCCACGGCACTCACTCTAGCCTGGACAACAAAGCGAGACTCTGTCTCAAAAAAAAAAAAAAAAAATTGCTCCTATTGAAATTACAATTAAATAGAAGCCTATAATGAGAGACTCCAATGACATTGCATATTTTCTATTTTATTATGAAAATAAAAACTAAACAAATACTTTAATGTCTAATGAAGCTAAGATATAACAACTACTGTAGAGGGGTTGTGTGTGTGTGTGTGTGCATAAACTGTTGGACTGATGGAACTGGAGATATCTTACTATGAAACAAGTTTCCCAAGGAGATAACAACAGAATAGTTCTCTTGCCGCTTTTGTGATACAGTAATCTTCTTTACTAGCCTTCTTCTCCCGGTTTCTAACTTTTTTACTATTTTGCCTGCCTCTGTGAAGCCATTATTCCTCATTCATATCTTCCCACTGTTTCTACTTTACCCACTGGTTTACTTTTACATACCAAAGCCCTGACATATATGGTACTACTAGTGAACGTGATTATGAAAATAAACAATGGGTTTTACAAAACTCACTGACTACTATATGCACAAAGTCTTGCAAACAATTATGTCCTATAGTACTTTTTAAAAATACAATGTTATCTGTAGAAATTAAGTGAAACCAAATCAGAAGAATATAAAAATGAATAATCATTAAGGGACACAGTGTTAATATGTGAAAACTCTTTTGTAAAAATTGAATTTTAAACAAATTACTTTCAACACAAAGGACATATTACAAAAATGTTTCCACCAGCCCCATATTTTGATTGATGGAACTTTGGAAAATACTTAACTAAAAAATACACTTATTTTTGGATTGTATTACACAGTTCTGATACCTAATCAACTGCAACTCATTGTATTTTTAAAATAATAATTAACCATCAAGTGAATAAATATACACATCTAGAACTCTCAAATATACAATAGAGGATGGGTAATTAGATTATATCTATTAAAAAAAACACAAGTGAAAAATTATAAACTTGAGAAGTATTTAAGGACACAGAAATATTACTATGTATTTAAGTGAAAAAAAGCAGATTATGGTATAATGACACCATATTACTTATTATGTTTATGCATTTACAGAAAAAATACCGAAGATCATATTTTAAAACATGTATGGAAGTTATCATGGATGGTAGCAAATTTATGTTTTATCCTTAAATTGTGCTATATAGCTCAAATTTCCTAAAACAACTATATTTCTATTTTCTGATTTTAAAAGTATTAAACTGTGTACATATTTTGCCATGTCTTTAATCAACTATTTTAAAATAATATGAATATTAGAATATTAACATAACATGTACGGATATTAAGCAAACTAAAAAAGTACAGAGAAATATTAAAAAGAAAGCAATATAGCTCAGATTCCTGAAATCCAAAGGTAACCAACAAAACATTTATCATTTTAGTTGAGTAATGAAGATAACACCATATAATTTTTTTTGCTTCTGTTGCTCAATATATTGCAAATTCATAAACAATATAATTTTTAGTGCTTGCATGACAGACATACCTTATTCAATCATTCCCATTATCTTATTGTTAGCTATTTAGATACTTTCTCATTCATTACCAAATAATATTTAAAAATATATATCTATATAACAAAATCGATGTGTACAAATTTTTGTGTATCTCTTCATTAGATCGACAGCCATGAATGTTTCTGCCTTTATGGCTTCTTAATACATACTGTCAAATTGCTTTCTAGAAAAAAATGTACCAATCTACAATTTCTTCAGCAGGGCATCAATCTGTCAATCTTACAAACACAGGAGGGGGAATATAATTTTTTTAAACCTTTGGTCATCTGGTAACTAAAAATGTTACATTTACTTTAATTTATACTACCTACTGATCACCAATCAGTTAAAACATAACAGTGTCCATAAGCTTACTAGCAATTTGCAATCCTTTCCTATGAATTTTTTATATAAGAACCTTGTCTATTTTCTTCTGGGAAATGATGTATCTGGAATGGTTAATTTTAGGTGTTAATTTGGCTAAGCTGTTAGGCTCAGTTGTCTGGTCAAACACTAGTCTAGATGTTGCTGTAAAGGTAATTTTTAGATGTGACTAACATTTAAATTAATAGACACTGAGTACAGGAGATTATCTTCCATAATATGGGTAGCCTTATTCAATCAGTTTAAGGCCGTAAAGAGAACAGACTGAGGTCCTCTGAAGAGAATGGATTTTTGGCCAGAGATTGCCTTCTGGTACAAGGCAGCAGCATCAACTCATGCCAATTTCCAGCATACCTGCCTGCCCTGCCAACCCCACAATCTTGTGAGCCAATTCCTTTAAAACACAAGTAAACAAACAAACAAACAAGAACTTCTCTTTCTATATACAGGCTAAGTATGCAAAATACTAGGAACTAGACTATTTCAAATTTCAGATTTTTAAATATCTGTATAACGACATATCTTAAAAGGGTATCCAAGTTTACACACAGATTTCTTATGTTTCATATTCACTTTATATACATAGACTGAAGGTAATTTCATACACTATTTTTAATAATTTTGTGAAATAAAATTTTCACCGAGTTTTGACTGTGACTCAACATGTCACATGAGGTTAGGTGTGGAATTTTCCACCATGGTGTCAGCACTCAAAAAGTTTCAAACTTTGAAGCATTTCTGATTTCAAATTTTCAGATTAGGGATGTTACTCAACCTATTTGTACTTTTCTCTGGAGAACCCTGACAAATACAGTGTCTTCAAAATTTTCTTAGTATTATAATTTATGAGTTTATTTATTAAGGCTACTGATTTCCTTCACAACCTTTGTTTAGAAATTCCTTTCAAGCCAAAATACTTACTTGTAAGTCATCTGCTCCCTCAGCTTCATTTTTTGATTCGGGACATCCTAAGGAAACAGGTGATAGTTAATTAAGCACAAGATTCTGGTCTTAGATTTCAGTATTAATAACTGATTATGTCATTACAACACTATGTAAGATTTATCAAAGATGATTCTGGACTGCCTGGCAACCAGTCAGATAATGGCCACCTGTATTTGCCCCTGTGTTAGAATAACAGAGAACAAAGGGATTATTTCTCCCTTCTACAGGTAAATTTCCAGTTACTAAACAGATATTTTCTCTGAAAGTATACTATCCCCAGCAAGCCCTACCCTAGATTTCTCCCAAATACTCAAACTGGTAGGCAGATTAATATGATCACACACTCCTCAGTTTATTTAGGTGACAGTAACATGTGATTTATGCAATTTTCCTAAATGCTCCGATCCAGGAAACAGTATTTAGTGCCCAAAATCAGGATTACAGCTGTTTTAATTAAGAAAGAAAACAAATGAGTCTTATTCTACTATTAATAGCTAATGGCCAATTGTTGCTGTTGACTTTTGTGCATCAATGTCTCTGCATAGGTTTTCATAGGGCTCAAGAGTATCTTTAATTCCAATAAATTAGTAAGACAGGATTTGTTCTAGCAAAGTATTCTGAGTTTATGCTACCTTCCAGAAGACATAGCCAGCATGGAGTAGGCATGAGATAAAAAATTTGTCCTTTGGAAAGAGTAGCATAGCTTATTTTTATTGTCATGAAAAGCTAAGTAAAAGAAAATTAATGAGACTGCTAAAAGTCCACATAGCAACTGATAATAATGCCAACATGTTAAAAACATGTTCAAAAATAACAAGACAGTCTGAGTACTGCAGACTATTCTACCTGACCTAGAGTTTGTAAGCTCCTCTTTACAAATTCCTTCCTAAAACATTAAACCCAACCTATTTGATCCTAGTGAAAGAAGAAAGTATACTCTCATGGGACATGAGCATGGGCTTAAAAGTAATTCAAAACTTTAAAATAAATCATATAAATTCCAGCAGTCATAGATAATGATCTTTTTTTTTAAAGCACTGGTTCTTCAAACCTGGCTAAAGATTAGAATCAACTGGGAACTGTTAAAAAAATATACTAGGCCGGGCGCTGTGGCTCACGCCTGTAATCCTAGCTCTTGGGAGGCCGAGGCGGGCGGATTGCTCAAGGTCAGGAGTTCAAAACCAGCCTGAGCAAGAGCGAGACCCCGTCTCTACTATAAATAGAAAGAAATTAATTGGCCAACTGATATATATATAAAAAAAATTAGCCAGGCATGGTGGCGCATGCCTGTAGTCCCAGCTACTCGGGAGGCTGAGGCAGGAGGATCGCTTGAGCCCAGGAGTTTGAGGTTGCTGTGAGCTAGGCTGACGCCACGGCACTCACTCTAGCCTGGAAAACAAAGCGAGACTCTGTCTCAAAAAAAAAAAAAAAAAATATACTGATGCCAGAGTATAGCAGCAAGCCAAAAACTGTCACAATTTCTGTGGGGTGATGCCCAGGACATCATGCATTTTTTTAATATCTAAATTTCTTATCATTTTTTTCCAAATTCAAATTATAATCATTTTACTAGAGCAACAATTCCTCATCACATGTGAACTTTCTCGCTTGGAGCTTTTGAAAAATAAGGGATGCCTCAGCTCTACCCCCATATAGATTCAATAGCTTTAAAATGGGGACTAGTCACTCTAGTCTTCAAAAGCTTCCCAAGTGATTCTAATGTGCAGCCAAGGTGAGAACACTAATCTAGGGACAATTTATGGGTTCTTACAATAGAGATAAAATGATTACTATCATTTCATGGTAATTTTTTCTGGATCAGAAATCAAAAACTGCTTATTTACCAAACTCTAATCTTTTAATGCAGCTAAACAAATTACTTAACCACAGTTTTATGCACTATCAAAACAGATTTGTACTAAACATTTCCATGTTCTTGCCTTTGGTTGGTCTGGTAATTAGTTCATTTCTTCAATTTTTCCAATTAAAATAACATCTTCAAAATACACATATTACAATGTGGTCTAACACAATTTAATCCAGTTACTTTATTTAGAAAGTTATTAATAGAGATAATTTTCCTAATTTAAGTAGAAAAAAAATCAAGTCTTAGTTATTTCTTCCTTTTTGAGAAGAAATGGGTTTTAATGTGGTTCTTGTTTAAATAAACACAAGCCAGTCTTACATGAAAAAACATTCTTCTTCCACTCAAAACCTATATGCTTTAGAGTTAATCACCCTAATAGACTGGCAAGATATACAAAAGAATAAAATAGATAGGTTTATGGTCTCTGTTGATCCTCAATAATGAAATCAATCAAGTAAAGGATTTTGTCATAGAATAGCTAGAGTCTACATATATTTGAATATTTTAAGTTCTCTTTTTATTTAATTACCAAAAAAAGGCTGTGACTGGTATTAGAACACACATGTAAGTATACATAACTGGGATTTACAGTCTACCTTACCATTCCCCTCTTCTGCAAGCTCTTATTTTAGAACATTTGAATTATCTGAAGGCTGCTGCTGACGGGCTCAAGAAATACATACCATTGGTATAGAATGTGATGTGACAAATATAAATCAGTTTAAGGAGATTATTTTTTATCTTCACTTATTGTGTGAGCTTTCAAAGTCTGTTCACATATCACAAAAGCTGATTTGCTTCAAGTTCAAGAACTACTTTGGGTCAACTTTTAAAAAGATAACCTCCACTCTATATAACAAATTAAGAAAATAGTCAAGAATACCTACCTTGAGAAATATCCTCTATAGCTCTTCGAATGCCTCTATCAAAAGCCCTAGCATCAGCAGGACTTTGAAAGGTAAGGCCAAACTTCTTGTCATCAATCTTCCAGTGATGAAATGTTGGAGTGACCTTATTATAAATGAGGTCTTTTTTAAGCATACATTCCAAAACCACCTGCCAAAAGCCAAACACCAAAAATTAACACACATATATCAAATGCATTTAATGTAGCTCTTAGATACAAACTGAGATAAGAAAAGCTATTATTTTAATAATTGAATAATTTAATAAAAATTTTAAATAAATTAATAAAAAGTTCTTGCTATTTAATTTACTTCACAAAGTCACTCAAGAAAGAGATTAAGATGAAATAAAAAAGATCATGCAGGCTAGGCACAGTGGTTCACACGCCTGTAATCCCAGCACTTTGGGAGGCTAAAATGGGAAGATCAGATGCAGTCATATGGTGGTGGCCACCTGTAGCCCTAGCTACTAGACACTGACACAGAAGGATCACAAGAACCCAGGAGTTCAAGGCTGCAGTGAGCTATGATCAAGCCACTGCACTCCAGCCTGGACAACAGAGCAAGACCTTGTCTCTTAAAAAAAATCATGCATATTGTAAGCAGCATATTTATTATACTCCCAGTTTAAAGAATGTGTGTGTGTGTGCATGCGAGCGCGCGCACACGCGCACACACACACACACATACACACTCCTATTCAAAATTTCCAGAAGAATATACCAGGAATTACTTCTGGGAAAGAGGCAAGGAGGTGATGATAACAGAAATTTAACTTTTTAAAGTCACTTTCCTACATTTCTTAAAAGATTAGTATTTTGTTTGAGGATTTAATGGTCACAGAAGATCAAATACTGATTTTCCCACTTTCTCAGAATATGCACTTACCTGACCTCTAGTTTCCTCATCTCTAAAATAGGAATAGCAATATATCTCATAGTTTATATGGGATTACTGAATGTGCATTCATGTAAAAAGTTTCATGTAATGTTTGGGACTATATACCTTTGTTTTTAATTCATTTTTATTTTGAAATTATTTCAAATTTATAGAAAAGTGACAAGAATAATATAGAAAATTCCTGTGTGCCCTTTACCTGTATTTTCACATTAATTTTTAACATTCTCTTTGTATATTTCCATGTACAACCATTTATTATACTCTGAACTATTTCAAAGGAGGTTACATATATTCTGCTCCATTGCTCTTTAATACATACTTGAGTGTATTTCCTAAAAGCAAGAGTGTTCTCTTATGTAATCACAGTACAGTAATCTAATTCAGGAAATTTAAAACTAACACAACACTTATCTAATCTACAGTCCATATTCCACTTTTCTACACTGTGCTAATAACATCTTCCATAACATTCTAAAAAATTTCCAGTGCAGGATTCATTCCAGGATCACACATTATATTTAGTTATGTCTCTTCAGTCCATCTGGAATAGCTCCTCAGCCTGTCTTTCATGACATTCATCATATACTTTTAATAAATGTTAGATGTAATTATTACTATATAAAACAAAAGTGGGTCTACTAGTGATTCTTGCAATTAATATAATTAATCAAAAATTAAAATTATACACCTTATTTTAAGAATACCCTATAAGAAAGCAGGAGGAAAAGAATTAAAAATAATCCAAATAAAACCCAGACCCCATTATTCTACTTTATTGCTTCATAGCACTGCACTCATAATAATCTCAAATCATTTATTTTTGTTTGCTGTTTACCCCTACTGCTAGAATATAAATGCTAGGAAAGTAGGGATTGGTTTGCTGCATAATTCCTGTACCCTGAACAGCATGTGAACATAATAAATGCTCAATAAATAGTAAAAGATTGAATATCTTTTCACAACTTCCACTCTATTCCAATCACCATTACCACTTGCATGTCTTTTTCATGCATCTGCTCATAATCTCCTCAAATAATTTCACTACTCTGCAGGTGGAATAGTAATCTTTCTAAAAAATATAAACTTCATTAGACCACTCTCTTGTTTCAATGTCTTGAAGGTCTTCTGAATGCTTTTAAGATCTACTAGGCAGTGCATGAGCTGGTCTTTGCCTCTCTGAGTTCCATTCTCACTTCCCATTCTCCCCTTGACTCTCTAATGCTCAAATTGCACTGATCTATCTTCCTTCATACCTTTCAGTGCCCTTGCAGTACTATTCCCTTTCTGTGGAATCCCTTTCTTCATCTTTACCTCATAAATACCTTCTACTTATCTTTAAGATCTCAACTCATATATAACTTCCTAAAGAAGGCCTTTATATATCTGTAATTTTCAAATTTGGACGATTATTTGATTAATGCCTGTCTCCCCCATGTCTGTAAACAGGGCGAGGGCAACAAGTATGCTCCATTTGGCCATCACTGTTGCCCAATCCCAGTCCATAAACTATAGTAGCGGACATACACTCGGTACTCAACAGGTATTTCTCCTCAGAAAAATGCATATATGTATAAATTTTCAGATTTTATGCACTCCCTCGAAACTCACCCATAGATCATGGAGTGGGAATCTCATTAATACTTTACAGTAATTCAAGCTCAATACAGGCATTGGTTTGCTAGAGCCTGTTTATACTGGCGCCTATCAGCCAGATAATAAATTTTCAGAAATTTTGCAAGTCATTATTAAAAGCGAAATTATGTAACTTTACAATGAAATAAATTACTTTTAAAATAAAGTAATAAATTCTCAAAACTCATTACTTCCTAATTATTTTACTATACTTTACAATTACCTATGTTCTTGAAGGAGTTTATGTCTAGCATATCTGTATGATGGAAACACTATATAATGTGGTACTGTTGCTCATTTCTTGCCAATGCCACATGTTATGATGTCATATTGAATGAAAGCAGTCAAAGTGGGAGTATGCAAATGCTATAAATCATTGCCTTTTGTCCCTTCTTGAAAGCTGATTGTTAAAAATTTGTCAGCATGCCACTGAATACAATGATTCTTGATAGTAAGTCTTATTAATTCAGGAATAAATAGTCAAGAAAGTGACTAAGATTCAGTCTTACCTGTTTATAGGCAATGTAATAAAATTGTCTCAAGAGTTTGGCTTTCTATAATTTGATGACTCTCCATGTATTAGAAAAGAATGAACATATATATTCAGGGCTTTTATGAGTCAGCACTTTGCTCAGGCATATTATACACAACAATCATTTTACAGCAACAACCACCATAATAATTCATGATTAAGTTCTGGAATTCAAGGAGAAGTAAATATTGGTGTAATGGGCTGCTGTAACATTTTTAGCATATTCATAAACAGTGGGGAAAAGCTATGTTTTATAAAACAATGCTAAACTGGCATTATTTTAAAAAGGAGAGGTCATTAAAAAACTGAGTTTGATCCTATAGTTTTTATTATATAAAAAAATCACAAACTTCATTTTTAATACATGAAAATATTACTGAATAAGTCCCTCTTCAATTTTCAAATAATATTAATCAACCGTTTATTCTCAGATAGATAAAATTTCAACATAATCTACACTGATCTCCACCTCTTGTTTTCAAATGTCATACATTTATAGAATCTCCCAAAACTCACTGAAAAATTAGTTTTAAAAATGAGCTTTAAAATGCACTAAGGAAATGGGAAGGATAATGAACTAGCTCACTGACTCATACAAATAACCTACGTTCCACCTAAAAGTCATGAAGATATTATGTTTAAACCTCATACCAAATTTTTGTTGTTTACTTTTATCTATAAAATATCAGAAAGAAAGCCACTTGCAGTAGCCTGGGACTAGCACTCTGGGAGGCCAATGTGGGAGGATGATTTGATGTCAGGAGTTCAAGACCAGCCCCAGCAAGAGTGAAACCCCATCTCTACAAAAAATAGAAAAACTAGCAGGGCATGGTGAATTCACCTGTAGTCTCAGCTACTTGGGAGGCTGAGGCAGAAGGATCACTTGAGCCCAAGAGTTTGAGGCTGCAGTGAGCTACAATGATGCCACTGCACTCTGGTCAGGGTGACAGAGCACGGCTCTGTCAAAAAATATATATATATATTTTGTTGTTGATAGTATATATTTCATATAATGTAACATAAAAAATTTAAGAAAAGGCTTCTATGACAGTATCTAGCATGGATTTAGGAATAAGTAGTGGAACAGAAGAAAGGCAGGTAATCTACTGGCACAATCACCCAACATCTATGTAGATAATTTTGAGCATATGCCTCCTAGAACATTCTGCATCAATATTTTAACAGGGATTGCACTGAATCTATGGAACACTTTGGGTAGTATAGACATTTTAATAATGCTGATTCTGCAGATCCATATGCATGGCATGTTTTTCCATCTGTTTACTTCCTCTGCTATTTTCTTCCTCACTGTTTTGTAGTTCTCCCTATAGAGGTCTTTCACCTCCTTAGTTAAATATATTCCTAGGTATGTTATTTTCTTGGTTGCTATTATGAAAGGTACTGAGTCTTTGATTTGGTTTTCAGCCTATTTTTGGCATATATGAATGCTACTGATTTGTGTACACTGATTTTGTAACCTGAGACTTTGCCGAATTTATCTATCAATTCCAGTTATCTCTTGGCAGAATATTTGGGGTTTTCTAGATACAAGATCATAACATCAGCAAACAGCAATAGTTTGGCCTCTTCTGCCCCCATTTGGATACCCTTGATGCCAACATCATTTTTTACAAATCTAGAAAAAATAATTCTATGCTTCATATGGAACCAGAGAAGACTCTGTATAATCAAAGCAACCTTAAGCAAAAAGAACAAATTTGGAGACATCAATTTACCAGAGTTCAAGCTATACTACAAGGCTATAGTAACCAAAACAGCATAGTACAAGAACAAAGACATAGACCAATGGATGAGAACAGAGAACCCAGATATAAAACCGTACTCATATTACCATGTGATCTTTGACAAAGCAGACAAAAACATACACTGGGGAAAAGAATCCCTATTCAATAAATGGTGCTGGGAAAATTGGATAGCCACATGTAGAAGACTGAAACAGGATCTGTACATCTCACTACCCACAAAAATCAACTCATAATGGATAACAGACTTAAACCTATGGCATGAAACCATAAGAATTCTAGAAGAAAATGTTGGAAAAACTCTTATGGACATCAGCCTTGGCA